TGAGACACTGGAACGGGTCGTCGGGAGAAATTGTAGATGCCCCATCCCTGGAAGTATTCATAGCCAGGCTGGATGGGGCTCGGAGCAGCCTGGATTACCCCCACAGCAGTGGGGTTGAAGCTAAACCATATGTAGTGTCCCTTCCAACCCAGAGCATTCTGTGATTCTATGRATTCATGGCAGCTGTCAACATATCAAGACTCTAATGTGGTACGTCTGTATAATATTCAATAATAAAGCCTTAAAAATACTGCATCTTCAAGCCCTCTTGAGTGGAAATAACCATTTCTGCCACAGATTCATGGCTGGTAAAACTCTGGTAACAATCATCACTAAAACACTATTGATGGTCTCTGTCCTCTGTAATAGATACTGAGAACAGTTGTATTTGCTATACTCTGAAATATTGAACTCCAACCTTTATTAAAATAAACTCTAATTGAAGCCAAAGGAATCCCAAATTTCCACGCCTTGCTTAGAAGTATCTTAGCTCCTGTCACCCCTTACACTGAATGGCATTATAATCTGTTTATACAGCAATATAACATAGGATTMAGACAATAAAAGTGACTGCCAGGCTTTTTCTATTTAGTACATAACAGGTCGTTTTAAGAGCAATTTTTAAATGCAGTCTCTTTTTTTGGTAGATGTTTTCCTATTATCCAAGTGGTATATGTAAAAGCTATAAAAACCTATGATTGTGCAGAAAACATGGATGCTTGCCCTGWGATACTTTTAAAAAGATAAATACAATAGGTGTCATTTGCATTTGCAACACTTCCTTTAAGTCAGCTCATAGAGAGTCTCTGTGCTCATTTTCCCCAATGCACAGCCACCTGCAACAAAAATAAGATTATAATCAACTGTTTACTAATCTTTTTCCTGGAACCAGGCACTGGAGGACTCTTAATCCATGTGGATTAATCCATGTGTGTAGAGAAGGTGCTATTCTACAGGTTTTTTTTTTTCACTCTCTAATGAATTATTCGGTGCTCTTAAGTAAACATACCCATTTATTGTAATGACAGGGGRCTGTTTGAAACATAATACTGCCAGAGGATTTCCACATTCTTTTTTGCTCCTTCTATGCTTCATACTTCCACATAACTTTTCACAGCCTTGGAGTGCAGCACACTTTGTTTTGTCCCAGGCTTTAAACACTCCTTTGGAAAAAGGCACAAATTGTTCCACAAACAATTCATCTGCAACGGGGTTAAGGGAAACAGTCCACTAGGCAATGGTGATGTTTTCAGAAGGAGAAGGAGGAAAAAGGTGCCAGTCATCCCTAATCCATGGGAGTACAGACATCTATCAGACTATGTATTTAACTTGGACCACTGTAGGTCCATGTTCTCTGCTATACAAGACTATCCTTGGAAAACTATTACCTCCCTTACCCTACACATAGCTACATTATTATATCTCCTGAAGGTTAGGAGTCAAAATGTTTGCTCACACTCAGAGACGCACTAACTCTGTACTTAACACAGCATATTATGTAGGACAAGTATTCACACTGAAGCTGGGAAGCCGGGTACAGAGATCATACTCAGAATCTCTGGAAGAACAGCAGTGTCACTCCTTCCTGGAAGAAGTGACTTGAGAGGACCACTAACAGCTTCCTTTTCATATYTGCAGGATGAAATGTAGCACRCAGTGGCAAGAAAAGACACTKCCTGCCAGCTCTGTGMAGCAACCTGTRTTTCTGAGCCCAACTTGGAAAATGWGACATGCAGTATGTCCCTGTTGGTGAGGCTAAACATGAGGGGGATTTCAAGTGCCATGTGCTAGGAAGAGTTATAATGACATTTATGTATAACACTCCCCTCCCCTGCCAAAGTATGTCAGGCAGTACTTTGTAGTTCATAGTGCAGTCTAACAGATCTTTAGCTGGTGCAAAGCCTTTTCAAATCAGCAGACTTTGTCAGATTTTGAGGTCAGCTCTTATGCCTTACTGGCATGGCATGAGTTAAGCACATGAACAATAGGGACTGTACAGAGTACGGGGAGACATGAGAGGGGGGAACAAAGCATATGGTAAAGGGACTCTTAAAATTACATGACTGGCATAAAAACCTATATGAAAATKGAAAACAGCATCTACATCCCAAATAGTTATCATGGCAGCACAGCAAGTGACCAGGATCTCCCATGCAATATGGTTGGTATTCCAATATTCTAGGCTATAATTAAACTTTACGCAATACAATGGTTTAAATGGAATAGGCACACATGTATATGAAAGAAAAATTAGCTAATATGATACTTGCATACWGCTGTGAACATTCATGTAGTACCATCACTCCTGATTAAAATAGATACATGCTGAGGAGGTCAAGGTATACATGCATTAAGTTTCAAACAAAATACCTATTTTCTCCAGCTGTATTATTTCCATGAATATTCTTTGAAATTCCTGTAAGAAACTTAATTCTTCCTTTGAKGCCATATAAATTTTGGGGTACCTCTCAGAAAACAGTAGGGTAACTAAGCCATAGAAACACTTGCTGTAGAAGCAACGTGCCTTTCTGCACAGTTGATTGGAAGGAGTCTTTGGGTGTGGACACATTTTTCCCCAGAGGAGGAATCCCTACGCGAGGAAGAACCACCACATCAAAGGAGAATGTTGGGCTGGCAAAAAGAAAACACTACCAAAAAAGAATTGCAGGAGCCTGGGAGATGTTTCATTGCCAGAGTAATTATCAGTTAATCCCATTGTAAGTTCTCATCAAGAGCCATTTCCAGAAATGGGGAGTCACTGATGGATTGTAYTATTAAAGACCCTCCATAACAGACATGTCTTATTTTCTCACTCAACCCCCATCTCCCTATTTAAGACAYACTCAGATTTTGATTCTGAGACACAGTTTCCCAGAGAAGATAACTTGAACTCAGCTAGCAAAACTCCCAGTCCAGAAGGAGCYATGGTAAGATTCTGTGCTGCTTGAATGCAGGCTTGAATGATGAAAATACCCTTCCCAGATAAAATTAGTAGTAGTGCTTTCATAATACTTATATTGCAAAATTTTATATATAAGTAAGCTGGGCCTCACAGATAACATAAAAGAGAAGTGTTAAGAACGTCAAATGCAGGTGCTGTAGTTGTGCCTTGAATTAACTGAGTAGGAATTTAGAGGGCAATGCAATTGCATTGTAGTTCCCACTCAGATTACAAATTATTAAAATGTTCCATTAATATTTAAATTAAATAATGTTTAATTAAAGTTACTACAAATGTAAAACACTAAATTAAAATTTAAACTTAAAGATTTACGAATTACTTGCTTTTGATAGGCGGCCACTGGACAACAAATAAAGCCTCCAAACAACTGGAGAGAGAATAACATGAGTTTACAATCTGATTCTTTCCATGAAAACACAGTGCATGTACCAGGCCTGATACAGTCAAACAGAGAAGTGAAAATCAGTATAAAGAACAGTGTAATACGGTACAACAAAAGCGGAAGTACTCCGAGAGGGTTTCCACCAGAATCTGAGATGTCATTTCTTACTTATACATTTGGGCTGTTTTTCAGTTATAGGTGGTGTAAAAAAAAATACCCAAATCTTTTAAACATGGTGGATGAAATTCTAGTCCTGTTTATTACTAAATTTATWATAGTATCTAGGAAATTCAGTAAAAACAAGTACAGCCTTCTCCCAACAGACTAATTCAGTAGCGYTTCAAAGACATTTTTGGCCTTCTTCCTTTATCTTCAGTGAGTAAAATTTCTCTTCTATCAGCCTTCTCAAAATTCACTAAATAGAGCAATTCATAGAGTACAAAAGACTTTTTCATTGCTTACTTCTTTAATGCAAATATTTCTTGTTCTTAATTTTCTACAATTAAATGGGTTAGCCAACAGTTGAATTTGGATTTCTTCGTAGTTTTTGTTTCCTTTTTAAAAATTCTTGCTTTAAAGTCAGGGATTACTATAAATTAAGCCAAAATC